TAATATAATAATTATTTAAATAATGTAGTTAGTTAATCTAATATAACAGTCTCTATCTAGACTCTTTATGGTTGCCAATAAATGTAAATGATAAAAAGGAAAAAAGTCTAATTATTTATTAATAATTAATATATAATATTATTAATATTGTGAATAACTGATTTTTAAAGCATCTATTTGAAATATAAATAAAAACAAAAAAGACACATGTTTAATAAAAGTTAGATTTTTAATATTATAATTATTTAAATTATATAGTTAATTCAAACTGTAGACCGTTTATGGTAGCCAAGAAATGTAAATTTAAAAAAAGTAATTTACTAATCTAAATATTGGAGGCATTACATCCGCCATCATATCAATTTGTCATTTGCTGCTCAAGAAACATTTCTTATTATCATCAATTTTCAATAAAGCTGTGCTGCTTAATATTTTTGTGTAAACCGTGATACATTTTTCTGGATTCATTGATGAATAGAAAGTTCAAAAGAACAGCATTTATTTAAATAAGAAATCAATCTAAAAATACAATCTGCAACTGGCCAATCAGAATCAAGAATTCCAGAGAGCCGTGAAAAACAATCTACATGAACGTATCAAGAACTCGTGCAGAATCACTCACAGCAGACGTGCAGAAGCAGGACAGTCCTGACGAATCGCTGTAGTCGTGCTTCCACGTCTCCTGCACGGAGAAAAAACAGCTGCGAGACACATTAGCTTTATGAGTGAGATTCCTGGATGCTTTTCATAACTCACCTCTCATAACTTCCTGAAGAGACGCATGTGTCCTGAAACTTCTGTCCAATAAAAACACTACAGTAAACATGTTGTTTGTGTCTCTACAGGACTGGTGTATTCTGTGAACTGGTGCGCTCGCTCGGCGTTTAGAGTTCACAGAGTGAAAGGTCTTTAGGCGTCACCGTCTTTGCAAACTGACCTGTTTCCTTTTTCCTTTTCCTGTGGAGTAAAGCCACTATTCTCTGTTCAAACAAGCAGATCTTCCCTAAACCCTCCCATCACGCTCCACGCTCAAGATCAGTTTGGATCAACAAACTTGAATGCAAATGCAAAAAAACAGCAGATTAATAAGAACAAATGAGGTAGAGAGAAAATGAATAGCAATGATATCCATTTTTTGTAAACATAGCAGCTTATATATCTTTAAGATCCATAGTAGGCATTTTAACAACTCACATTTAGAAAGTTTGGCAAAATGAACAGAACGAGTCGATGAACACAAGCACATTCTTTTGACATAAAACAAGAACTTTATCAAATCTACAGATGATATGATCACAGTGGCACGAGTAGAATAAACACAAATGTTTACAGGTATATTAACATGTAAATAAATATAATAAAATCATCTATGTGGACTTAGTAGGGAGCAGGTATATGGGGTTTTCTGTGCATCTTCAGGAAAATTGATCTGAAATAAAAAGATTATGTGAAAAGGACTTTTAGTAAACAGACTAGGGCTGGGTGATATAGCTAAAAAGATTATTATTTGAATACATTTTTCAGCCTTTCAGTGTTATTTGATGTCAATATTTATTTTCATTTATGCAGATACATTTGTGACCCTGGACCACAAAAGCAGTCTTAAGTCACTGGGGAATATTTGTAGCAATAACCAACAATACATTGTATAGGTCAAAACTATTGATTTTTCTTTTATGCCAAAAATCATTAGGATATTAAGTAAAGATCATGCTCCATTAAGATATTTAGTAAATTTCCTACTGTAAATATATCAAAAGTTAATGTTTGATTAGTAATATGCATTGCTAAGAACTTCATTTGGACAACTTTAAAGATGATTTTCTCAATATTTAGATTTTTTTGCACCCTCAGATTCCAGATTTTCAAATAGTTGTATCTCAGCCAAATATTGTCCTATCCTAACAAACCTTACATCAGTGGAAAGCTTATTTATTCAGCTTTCAGGTGATGTATAAATCTCAATTTCGAAAAATTTACCCTTATGACTGGTTTTGTGGTCCAGGGTCACATTTGCAGAAAAAAATGTTAATATATTAAAAAAGCCACATGGAACATTTGTGCGTGATGACAAATGAAAAGCTAAAGCAGAGTTTTCAAATATTTCACTCTAATACCATTTGTGCTGAAGGCTACAGTCTTCCTGAGAAAAGGAAGAATCGTGAAACTAATCAAGTACATGCTCACAGTCAAATAAAAAGCACATTTACAGTAAATGATCGTAATGTTCACATATCTATTGTGAATATTCACTATATATCGCCCAGCCCTAAAACAGAACATATAATGAGTCAGTAGAAGAGAGTAGAGGTCTCACCCGGCCACAAGTGCTATTGCGGTTACAACTCCAACTGCAATCAGTCCCGCACAACAGGGCTGAGATTCTGATGAGACACAAGACATTAAAACCAGCTGCAGATAAGCTGACTGACATTACTAGGAACATATGCTGCGTGTAACATCACTTTATTACAAAAAAAAAAAGAATTCAATGAACACTGCGTTACAAAAGATTTAAAAATCAACAAACAGAAGAACTGTGATTTTACGCCAAATTCTAAGCAGATTTAATCCTACTTTACAACTTTTTTAACTAGTACTGTTCCAAAATTGGTATGTGTGAACAGGAAGATATATATTGAAAACGTTTGCCCATCAACATCAAACTATTTTGGGAAGATCTGATGAAAGCACTAGGATGAATATGAAAGTACATCTTCTACAAAATTCAAAATGGTAGAAAATCTATCTGTTGGGCAGAAACTAAATGCATCAATGTCATTGTGCATGACCTGAATAAATCAGAGGGAAAACATCATTCAATTTAAAAGCTAAAATGTAGGTAAATGTTGAGCTGCTGGTGGCACTAGAGGGTTTGAGAAAGAGACCCCAAATTTGGCAGAGAAAATCATCTCCATCATTAAGACGCATTTCATTTCAAACGGTCACGTTCAGATAAAATACAAGTTCTCTATCCATAATATTGCTTTCTCCAGTGAAAAAGTGGTCTGGTCTGAATCAGGAGAGAAATCTGCACAGATCAAGCACCGTTTACAAGAAAAAACAGCTCTAAACAAATATGTGTGTGGATTTTGATGTGAGAGACAACAGGAGATGGACTTTTTCACTGGAGGAAGCATTATCATGGATTATTGACTGAATTATTGAATGGCTTGAAATTAAAAACATCTTAATGATGTATTTGTTTCTTACAAACACTTCTCCAGATGTTAACTGATGGACTGGAGTGTTGTGGATTATTGTGATGTTTTTATCAGCTGTTTGGACTCTCATTCTGACGGCACCCATTCACTGCAGAGCATCCATTGCTGAGACACTGATGCAATGCTACATTTCTCCAAATCTGATGAAGAAACAAACTCATCTACATCTTTGAGGGTGAGCACACGTTCTGCAAATTTTCATTTTTGGGTGAACTATTCCTTTAACTAAAGTTAACTAATGGGAAGTTATTGTAAAGTGTTACCGTTTTTTCTTTCTTTAGATGCTTTTGCATTGTGTGGTGAACATTTTGAAGTGAAAAGTGACTTTTTTCACCTAAATATTAAAAAATGAAACACATTCTTGATATTGAACAATACCTTTTGGTATTTCATAATGCGTTGTGAGTGTCCCCAGGCTGCTCTTGATGATGCAGGTGTAGTTAACACCCTTAACCTCAGAGATATCTAGTCTACTGCCGTCTGCTAACAGGGCGGATTGATTAGTTACTGTAACGCCATCAACCAGCCATGAAAACTGAGGGCTGTCCCACTGCGTCACGCCATGATTATCCACAACACACTCCAGCACACGTGTAATTGACGCCTTTGGAGGTTCCACTGAAAAGACAAGAAAAAGTATGTAAGAAAAATCATCCTGTTCAACTAGTTTCTTTGAGTTTTGCGCGACGTGCTGCCTTAAAATTGAAATAGCTGTGCATGAGAAGAAAATATGCAAAACTTCTGGTGCACAGGTCAGTCGTGAAACAACATTTGCACAGTTAAAATGAAACCTATTCACCTATCTTTCGTACTTCTATGGAGTCTTGCTGCTGGTATCCGTTACTGTCTGTAACGGTGACCTTGTAGATCGCGAAGTCCCCTTCTGCAACATCAGTGACCCGCAGAAGTGCATCTCCTTTCTCCAAAGATATTCTGTTTCCATGTGACAGTCTGACATTGTCCCTTCCTCTCTCGCGGTCCCACGTCACCATGTCTATCTTGTCGTCTGGATCCTTCTTGAATACGGCTTCCAAAACAAGAGTTTGGCCGAGTGCCACATAGAGAGGCCGTCCAGTCTTAAAGCGGACTGATATTGTTCCATGAAGACACACAGGCACTGATGACGGTTATTTGAAAATAATTAATATGCTGTTCTTATTTCACTGTACATAAAGGGTTGAAAGGCATGAACAAATTAAACAACTGACTGGTAACTATTTATGTTTTCACTTTTAATGAAAAATGCATGTAAAATAATGGTAATTCAATTAATTTTTTATGTGATTTGGAGTCGTTTTAGGAGGTAAAAGAAGTATTTATAATGATCTCAGAATGATGTAGAAATGGATTTTGTCACTCCAAAGGACTCAGTATTGGTGAAAATAAAATAATAACGTTTTTTTTTTTACATTTTAGAAAATGCAATATAATATTTAAACAGCATTTTTATTTACACTGTTTATTTTCTGTACTGATAAAATTTCCATATTTGTACTTTAACATTTTACTCTATTTTAAGATTTATTGTTTTGTGAACACGAGTAGTGTGCTTTGTGTAAATCTATTAGGGAGAAACAAATCGATCATGTTTATTTAGATATTATTTTATTTTATAAATAGGGGATCATTAGAAGGATTTTCAGAAGATTTAGAAACTAGTTTTGTCACTCCAAAGGACTCAATAATTGGTGAAAAAATAGTATAAACTTTTTTTCCTATTCATAAATCATTTTTGAAAATGCATTCCGATATTTAAATAGCATTGTTTATCTATACACTCTCAGAAATAAAGGTACAAAAGCAGTCGCTGGGGTGGTACCTTTACAAAAGGTACACGTTTGTACCTAAAGTGTCCATTTTGGTACCTTACTGGTACATATTAGTACTTAAAGTGAACATATTAGAACCTAAGGTAAAAAAAAAAAAAGTGTTATTTCTGAGAGAGTATTTGCTGTATTGATATAATTCCCATTTTTGCTTGAACAATTTTAATAGACTTATGTTTGTGGACAAAACAAGTTTTCTTTCGCTGCCCAGCAAAATAATAAAACAAACAGAATAGACTCGCCTATGAAGTAATATTTACATGCAATGTCGAACTGCCCAAGCAGCTCTTATAGTTAGGATTTCACTGAATAACAGCAGACTCACTCTGAGTGACTGTGCTACACAGAATCCAAACCAGCATCCATGACCCCATGATGACCCCTGACAAATAACAGATCGTTAGAGGGACTCATACTCTTTCTAATGAACTCTTAGGAAACTGACTGGATGCACTTTTGTGACGAACGTTAATAAAATCCCATCAGCTCGAAATAAACGATCTTACCTTGACTTTCGAAGCCTAAATTCCGCGTCGTGTCGCAATAGGTTCAGGAAAATAATACCTGCTTATCGTCTGACTACTACACGTTAACAGGTGCGTTCGACGTGACGTCATTATGACACAGACTGTAAAATATTTAAATTTATGATATCTTGTATCAAATTTATTTAATTTGATTTTAATGATGAGTAGACTTGAAAAATAGATTGTAGTAATAAAAAAAGTAAGCAGTAGCAAAGTAGCAAACAAATCCTTATCCAAAAGTTAGTTTTGGAATATATTCATTGGAATATGTACAAATTCAAAATTCTTTATTGTAAGTTTATTGCAGAGACTTTTTATAATGTATTTATTTAATATTATTAACACATTTATATATATATATATATATATTCTTCTAACTATGACTGACACGCTCGAATCTGCTGAAGAGATATTTTGAAGTGGGCGTGATCTGTGGTTTAGTGGTGCAGGAGGTAAACATGAGAGCTCTGGTGTGATTTGTAGGAATTAATCAATTAAGTAGCCTAACTTCTTGTAAATCCGTCGAGGTAAAACAGCCATAATTTCTACATTACTTCATTTTCTGTATTAGCAAAAGACATTGTTTCATTCTTTCTCAGCTGTTGTGATGACGCGTTGAGGTGAGGCGAGGCGTCGGACAGGTAAACCAGGAAGTGAAAGCAACGATCGATATAGACGGATTTAAAAACACGAGAATGAAAAGCAAGAGAAGTCTGCTTAGTAAGTATATATAACAGATTGAATACACTCTATAATGGGCTTGCGTACTGAATGTAGCCTGCTGTTAATATACATTCCCATATGATTGATGTCAGTATCTCTTTTAATTTAACAGCATGTCTTTTAATATGATTGATATGCTTTCATATGTGATAGAATTAAACATCTGGAAACTAATTGAATGTTTTTGCTCAGGCCCTCCAGACTGACATGAACATACTGCTGCATCCTGTTGTTGTGGTTTTCTCATTGATAAGTAAGTTTTGCCTCTTCAGCCTGTCAAGACTGTCAGATGTGATTCTGTAGAAGACACACAGGGGAACATTACAGTAGTATGTCTAAATGAGATAAAACCGCAAACAACAATAATAGGCTAGTTTATTTGTCACTGTGAAAATAGATTTGTATGATGTGAATGTTATAAACATCTTCAAGACATTTTCTAAATGTGTATCCGACTGGAAATGTAAGAAATATGCATCTACAAACCTGAAAAATACATCTTCCTGATGAAAACGCACACATCAAATAGACATCTACACGATGCACATGCGATATCAGGATACTTGCTTACTAAATATAAAACTTCAGCTGAAACAAATGCAACATGCAATAGATAACTGATGCAAAAATAAATAAATAAATAAGACAGATTTTTTGATTGAAACTCAGCTAGATAAAGAAATAGCGAATTTTCCTCGAATCATTCTTCAATTTTAAGTAAACTTTGAGTCTTAAATTTCAGAAGTTTTGTATTTTTCGTATTTTTGTGTTTGACAAGCTACAATAATAGATTTCTTTTTTTCTTTTTTTTACCTCACTTTTTGCTGTTGATTTTTGACAAATTGCATAGAAACGATGGGAGGGTCAATCTGACCCCAGCATAAAAGTCGTAAAACTACATTTGTACTAGGGTTATTTTTGTATAATTGAAATACAGTTACAGTTTTTATTATTTTTTTTTTAAACGTTAGTAATTTTGTTGTGTGCTTGTCATTTCTTTTAATTATTATTTCTTTTTAAATATGTCTATAATATTTTCATTATTTTTCATTTCAGTATTGGTTTTAGATATTTCAGTTAGCTAAAAAAATATTTTTAGGTAAACTAAATTAAAATGAGAAATGTTGCCTTGGCATCTAGCTGCAAATAAACGAACTTTTCTTTCAGTTATAGTTTATTTTATTTCAAGTAAAAATGGTTTTAGTTTTCATTAGCTATAATAACCCTGATTTGTACAGCCTTTCCAAAACACATCTACTTTATGTGTCAAAACTTTGCATGCACATTCATGACCTTAAATGTGACCCTGAACTACAAAACCAGTCATAAGGGTCAATTTTTAGAAATTGAGATTTGTACATCATCTGAAAGCTGAATAAATAAGCTTTCCACTGATGTAAGGTTTGTTATAATAGGACAATATTTGGCCGAGATACAACTATTTGAACATCTGGAATCTGAGGGTGCAGAAAAATCTAAATATTGAGAAAATCATCTTTAAAGTTGTCCAAATGAAGTTCTTAGCAATGCATATTACTAATCAAAAATTCAGTTTTAATATATTTACAGTATGAAATTTACTAAATATCTTCATGGAACTTGATCTTCACTTAATATCCTAATGATTTTTGGCATAAAAGAAAAATCTATAATTTTGACCCATACAATGTATTTTTGGATATTGCTACAAATATACCCCAGCGACTTAAGACTGCTTTTGTGCTCCAGGGTCACAAATGTGAAATATTCAAAAAATGTCAAAAACTAAATAGTTTAGCCATTGTTTCAAGCTGTTTGAAAACCCCAACACAACAGCAGAGTTAATGAACATTTTCTTTGCATTGTTTGCTCACCCTCTCCTTGTTTTCCGTCTTCAGATGCTGTGAACGGAGTTGTTTTGTCCCTGCCGTCTCTGCCGCTGGAAGGTGGGAACGTGTCTCTGAGTTGCAGCTGGTCTGCGGGTTCAGAGGTCAGTGTGGTTTGGGGTAAAGGAGGCACTGCGCTTTCCTCTGACAGCCGCATTACTATCAGCGCTGGATCTCTGCTCATTAAACAGGCCAGGAGAGACGATGCAGGAGAATACACATGCACCGTCAGCAACGCCGTCAGCGCTCAAACCGCCAAGACCACCCTCAGCGTCTACTGTGAGTCAATAACAATTCATGCTGTGTCATTGCTGCAGAAGACTCTACAAGCTGGTCATCTTTTGGCGAATTTCTCTATTCTGAGTTCTGAGTTTTTTTTATTCACAGTAACTGTATATATCACTGTATATATCCACTTTCGGCTGGAAATTCAACCCCAAAATATTTTACATACCATATTACAGAATTGTGGTAATGGCTGTTTTTGGATAATCTAGTCCCATCCGAGATATTTCTGGTACAGATTTTACTTTTTTTTTTTTTTTTGGTGCAATTTTGTGTGTGTGTGCACTTGGATGGGTGAAATGCAGAGCACAAATTCCGAGTATGGGCCACCATACTTGGCTACACTTCACTTCATTTTTTTTTTTTTTTTTTTTTTGGTGCAATTTTATAAATTTTTTCCAGTTGTAAAAAATCACACTCAAATATCTCCTCATATCATACTAAAATTCCCTCATATATCGAGGTCAGATTTATTATAGTAAACCAAAATTAAAACCATTTAAAAACATGTTCCTTATTTATAATAAATATTATAACAGAAATAAAATAAAATATTTAAAAAAAGTTCAGCTAGTTGCCAATGCAAAATGTCTTCTTTTCATTTAGTTTTTTTTATGTACTAAAAAAACTAAAACTGAAATAATAAAAACAACTACAAAGTGAAAATAAAAACTATATAGACACACTAAGAAAATAAAAATGACAAAAGCACAAAAATACTAAAATTAAAATGAAAACATAAAATATAAAAATACAAATAATTCAAACTAATAATAAAAACTATAATATCAAAATTATACTAAAATAACACAGCTTTTCCAAGACTGTGGGAAATAAAAAAGACAATATAAAAATATGAATGTGAAATATGAATGATAGAAGATATATGAATTAAACAAATTAAAATAAGAAATATTGTTTTTTTAGCTGCTTGTTTTGCCATATTTTAAGTCATTTTAGTTTAGTTTAGTTATTAATAATATATTGTTAATAAGCCATCTTGTGGCCCCTTTGGAAACATGCTGAGGCCCCTAGTTTAATTTTATAAATTAGACCTCAGACAAGGTTTTATTCTTTGCACGTCAACCTTGTGTGAACATTTCTTGCAGTTTCTTAAATAAGAGCATGTTTTATAACAGCCGCATGTGTTTAGAGACATATGACATGAAAAAATGACTAAAGAGCTTGTAATTTTCCAGTTTGGTAGACAAACATAACAATAACATACAAGACATATTTTGGATTAATTTCTGCTGCACTAGTGAGTGATTGCAGTCTGTTTGAGGGGCATGACAACACTGGCTCAACCAACAGTCCAGCCAATGGCAGATGGAGGAGTGTTTGAAACCAAAAGTGCTTTTGCAATTCTGTTTGCTGATTTCGTTTTTTATTGTTTTGAGTGTTTTGTTTTGAACTCAAGTGTTTCATAGAGGGAAGCAGTTTTTGTACTGATATCAGACTTACTCATGTGTTGTAAATTAATTATTATTCTTAATATTACTGTTAATAATTAATATTTCTGTAAAGCTGTCTTGAAACAATGTGTTATGAAACATGCTATTCAAATAAACTTTGCACTGATATCAAAATTATTCATGCATTGTAAATAATCTGTTCTTTTGGTTGGTGCCCAACAAGTTACAGATAAAAAGAATATAATACACTGGAATGAAGCTCAAGCAGATAATAGACTGGATTATCTAAAATAGACAGTAATATGATGCTGCTTTTTCCTGTTTTGTGCTGTATAATGTAGAACAATACATAATATCTAAATATTTTACTGTATTTATATTAATAATATTATTAATATGTAATTAATATTAATATTTATATTAATACATTTTGTTTTTAATATTACAGTTTATAAATACAACAATGAAAATATACAAATATTCAAATAAACTTGAACTGAATTAATATATATATATATATATTATTATTTTTTTTATTTTTTTTACAATTATCACATGCCATTATCACATTTTTTGCACTAAATTACCAGTAAAAATAATCATATTATGAAATACAATTATGGTGATATAAAATTACTCATACAGTCATACAAGATAATTTTGTCGGCTCCTCAGATGGTCCAGATGCCCCACAGTTGACTAAGACCTCAAGTGAGTGTGTTGGCGGGGGAGATGCTACGGTGGGACAGACGGTGCGTCTCACCTGTACGTCTGCCTCTC